TATTTGCGACAAGTACACGGCGTGTCGTTGGAAATTCTCATCTGCCGCATTGATGTGAAAGAAGCCTTCCGACAAATCCCGGTGGATCCGTCTCGGGCATCGGTTTTTGGGTACACTATCGGTGATCACGCGGTTGTTGACCTACGGTGTCAATTTGGATGGCGTNGACAAATCCCGGTGGATCCGTCTCGGGCATCGGTTTTTGGGTACACGATCGGCGATCACGCGGTTGTTGACCTACGGTGTCAATTTGGATGGCGGTCGAGCCCAGGGTTTTGGTCCTTGTTCTCGTCCGCGTTGGAACACTCACACACACACACTACATTTCAAGACGCGTCCGTCTCTCCCGCCGGTGCTGCGGCTGTGCAGCATGTTCAAGTAGTGTCCCCACCAGACGAAAGTACAGCGGTGCCGTTACCTGTTGATTGCCAGACTATTGTGGGCGACGGGGCGTTTGCTGGTTCTCCATTTTTCGTGCGATACTACGTTGATGATGGCGTGTTGATTAAAGGGAGATTTTTCGCTGATGGCCGTCGATGTTTGCGCACGGTGCGTTCTCTCGCTACCGATCACCTTCGTCTGCTGGGAGAGAGAGGCCCAGCAGACCCGCCGTTGTTGTCGCAAGGAAAGATCACAGATTTCGCTACTCGTTTGGATGTGTTGGGTTGGACATTGGACACTCAGCAACTCACGATTACTATGACCGACACGAAACAGCAGAAACTGGGACGCATATTGGCTGCGTGGCCCGCGACGCGGAAAGTCGCTACAGCTCGTCAAGTAGCTGAGTTGACAGGGTTTCTTATGCACGTTTCGTTCGTGTTGCGGCCAGGAAAGCTTTTTGTGGGGCGCCTTTTATCCGCGGTCGGGATGCCTGCTTCGTCTACTTTCGCGTCCCAAGTGCCAAGCCCAAACAGACGTGTAGTGTTGGGTCCATTATTCCACGATGACCTCGGATTTTGGCGGTGGTTCCACAGGCATGGTCTCTCGTTGCGCGGCGGAAGTTTGTGTGCACCCATGTACAATATTTTGGAACGCCCGCCTGCACTATCCGTGTTCACCGATGCGTGTAAGCAAACAATTGGAGGGTATTGTTTGCAAACGGGCCACTACTTTCGATATGATCTGTCTGTGGAAGAGCAAGCTTGCTTTGTGGGGTCGAGCAAATCGGTCCAGGGGGTTCATGATGTCAGCATCAACGTGTTAGAGCTCCTTGGCATGGTCATGGGGGCATGGGTGTTGGTATTGGGCCGAAGTCACCAGCCTGTGGAGGCGGGTGATTGTGTGCGCCTTCGAGATGACAATGAAGCAGCGACGGCGTGGATTGAGCGTTGTCGGGGGGGCCTTGAGCCTCGATCGGGGGCGCTGGTGCGCCTACTGGGGGCGCTGGAGGTAGCCAGCGGGTGGCATTTCCACGCGACCCATGTTCCCGGCATACTCAACTCGCTTGCGGATGGTATCTCCCGTTGGAATACTAACGACGTTCACGATAACCTGTGCTCTGCCTCCCCTCATGTGGCGTGGCAGATCGTGGAGTTAGGCCCGAAGGAGCGCGAGTTGTGCTCCACCGTGCTGGCTTCGAGCTCGTCCGGCACGCACTTGCGCCATCGTCTGAACGAACTTACCTGGGATTTTTTGGAGCGTGGGTGAAGTTTCGAGAGGACGTTGTGGGGAGACCGACGTTTATGATGCCGTCGTCTCCATCGCCGGATATTGTTTCGCAGTTGTTGGAGTACGTGGCATACGCGTTCACGGTGCTGGGCTTGAGGCAGACGACGATAGCTGGTCATTTGTCTGCTGTTAAATTTTTTCATCGTTTGGCGTATCCGATGGAAGTTGATACATGTCATTCTTTGATCAAGCAAGCGCTCAAAGGGGTGGCGCGAGGGCATGCGGGTGTTGGTGCGCAGCAACGGGTGCGACGTCCGGTGTCGTGGTCGATGCTGAAGGAAGGGGGGCGTCTGGTGCCACAGTGGGGCACGGGTGGGCGCGTGTTGTTTCTGGCGTTGAGTGCGTCATTTTTTTTCTTGATGCGGGCATGCGAAATGTTCGCTGTGTCCTCGTTGGCCATGGATTCTTGTCATGGGTTGCGTCGGGGGGACGTGGCGTTTTTTTTGGGTTCTCGCCAGTTGCCTCCGGAACGGAGGGGAGAGGCCGACATAGTCGAGGTGCGGTTTCGGTCGTCGAAAGGCAACCAGTTTCGGAAGGACGCCGTGTGTACGCGGGCGAGGCCGGGGCCTCCCCAGTCTGTGGAGTGTGGGGGGGGTGCAGTCGATGTGATGATTGAACTCCTTTCATGCTTCCCTGTTCTCCCTTCGTCTGCTCCGTTAGTCGCGTTCGGAACCGGGGAGGGGCGATGGTCCGTGTGGACTCGTCGTCACGCGACGGAAGCGCTGCGGCAAGTCGTGTCGTTGGCGGGTCTGCCGTCGTCCGAGTACGCGTTGCACTCCCTTCGGATTGGGGGCGCCACGTACTTGGCAGCGGGGGGAGCGTCGCCAGAAGTTCTGAGACGAGAGGGGAGATGGACTGGGGAATCGGGGTATCGGCCGTACGTAAGGAACCATGGGAAAGATGCAGAGTGGGTTTCTAGTACCTTGGCGTCGGAGGGTGATTCAGGGAGACAACCAGGGCAGGGTACAGAGTGGGGTGACGTAGTCCCTGAGGCTGGTGAGGGCGAGCCGTAAAAGGAGCGGGGAGTGAATGCGATCAGGGTTTATTGGTCGATACAAGAGTGGGAACCACGGTAGGGGGGGAGAGAAAGTATAGATCAGTATGGAAACCAGTCCGGGGTTAGGTTGGGGGCATGCATGACTTTGAGAGTATACCTGATGGTGCGGTGACTGGTTTATACTGATGGTGTTGTGGACGGGGATAGGTTGAGAACCCCGAGTTCCGCTCCTCTCTCCCCCCCCTGTTCAAGCGTGGGGGGGTACGACCAACTAATGCAATTTCGAAAGCAACGAACAAAGCAGAAGATTGCAGGGACAGAGGCGTTGAAATCTGAGTTTTGTGAGGAGCGGAAGATGAAATATCCGTTGGCCAATCAGAGTGCAGCAGCATGGAGTCAGCGTGAAGTGTCTGAAACCTGACCAGAAGAGTAGACTTGGGAGCACTTGTTGGTCTGCCCCAAGGAAGCACGAGGGAGGCTGCTGCAGCCAAGAGATATTTCGGAGGAGATCTAGGGTACCTCTTCGGGCTCTTGGATACCTTTTCTCGTTATATTTGTGTGTGTTCTTTAGATCATCAGATGGCTCTAGCACTTTCGTGACCACGGGCTGAGAGTCTTTGCTAGATTTTGGCATTTAGCAACTGACATACGGTTTAATGTGAAGACAACAACAACAAAATACTTTGTATGTGCACAAATGGTTGGTTATATATTCCGACAGGTGTCCTCCACACATCAGAAGTTTGTAAAGGAGTGTGGCTGCTAGCATGAATAGGGTACATCATATATATTCTTGATAGGATGCGGGCCGGTCAGGAGGTATACCCCTCTGACCCCTACCCCCTTAGAATTGTCTACTCTGTGTACCCCCTGAGATGAACTTGGATCCCCACTTCATCCCAGACCTTTGCTGATCGTCTCTCAGCAATAACAAGCAACTTTCCCATCTCAACGTGGTCGTGGACAAGCGTGTCAACGACAGAACGTTCATCTATCTCTAGGAGCAAGCCACCGCTCACGGCATCACTCCTTGAAAAGATCCAAAGAACACACACACTAGACTAGCAAGAAAAGGGTACACAACAAGCCCGAGGAGGTACACTACAATCCCTGCAGCACGTTTGCGTGCTCACAACTGAACTACAGGCCCACACAGGTTTTTATACCGTATTTTTTTCTGTTTCTTCGTGGGGTCGTGTATGCCGGGTTTTGAGACCACGGGCTCCCAATCTCTCTTTTTTAGAGCTAATGTGAGAAACAACAACAACAACAACAACAACACTACAATTCGACTACAGCAGCAGCATCACCCCCTTGTCCCGCATTTTACCGAAATGAATGTTCGTCGACTACAGGGTACTGCTGTCTGAAGTGCTGTCTGTGCAATAGTAACACCATGGTGCATGGTACACAACAAGCTCGGGGCATGCAGCTGCTGTCTGAAGTGCTGTCAGAATGAGTCCGCGGACATACAATGAAGAAGAACACCCAACCAAAGCCATCATTGCAATCGACAATCACCCGAATCTATCCAGATCATCTGTGTTGGGCACAGCAGAGCAGTGTAAACACCGACACTGACTGACTAGGAATCGTTCCACATTGAAGGGGTCTTCCACGATGCAGGTACACAATTAAGGCACCCGGGTTATCCGCGCCATCTCTGCCGCGTCTCTACAAATAAAACCAGTGACGTCATCACATACACCCAACATCAATGTTCATGAAAAAAAAAAACGGAAAAATATGCTGTCTGGGAAATCGTAGACACACAGGTAGTTTTCTCTGACGCCATGATTCCATTGTTAATCTGTCTCTGACTCTTTTCTATGATAGAGATGGACTCGTTGTGTCATATTAAGAAAAAAATAATAATAATTGACAATACAAGTGATGTTTGTCCGTGCGCCACGGTTCGATGCCATCCGCATGCTCCGGTGCCGCTGCTCCAGTGCCGCTGTGGCCAGTCCTAGCACGATCAAACTCAACCCGCTCCGCTTCGTACACTCACTCGTTGCTCTCCTTCCCAGTCGGTTCCTCGCTTTCTCCCTCGTTGCACTTAGGGTTCCTGGTCTGAAAATTCTCGCGCCGAAGGGTCAACCAGCCCAATCAGCTCGTCACCACCTGTCCCCACCTCCTTTGATGGCAAAACCAGGTTGCTGAGACAGTATAGCTCCCCCTTGCAAACCTAGAGCCGTTTACATAGTGCCCGTTCACCTTTCACCTTGGCGTGCTTCAAATCAAAAACGTTCGAATTTTTCTGATCGTTGAGAAGAGAAAGAAGCCCCGCCACCAGCGAAGGTTGCGGGGAGCGGAAAGCCTTGATGTGTGGTGTGACCACGCATGCACACATACATATAATATATAATGTATATCTCGTCGTTGCCACTCTCTCCTTCCGAGACACCCACCTTTCTCGTGGTGCCCAAAACTCACGACAGAAAAGTGCAAGCCCCCGGTAGTGGGTGAAGACTATTACCATGATCTGGATCCCCATCTACCGAGAGAGAACGCTGTGCCCTTATCAAACGTTCTTGTTCTTGAAGACGAGACACTACAAAGTAGTGTAGATTAATAGGTTGGGATTCGTTTGGTGATGTGTGAATCACATTCATCCATCATGATGATCCGCCGTGGTTCCTACATACCACCCAGTAGGAGGTACATACGAACCCCCGGTTGTACTTCTCATTGGCGCAGTGTAGGCTTTCGCATGCCACAGATCCACCACGCGCCAGAAGCCACAAGTGGGCAACGGGAAAGGCTGCTATCCTGCTGTCGAGCCAATCACCAGTCACGAGCAAAAAAAGATCAAGAAAAGAATGATTTCATGGAAAATTGGTTTCTTCCTTGTATGTGTTGTTTTTTTGTTTGTTTTTCTCCCATCATTGGACTCTGTCGTCTGCCCCTCTGGCCCCTATCCTCCACTTCTACTAGCTAGACGACCCAACCGGGGTCACATAGGAGGGGGGGGTTGGACCCCCTCCTGCGGTTCATGCCTGAGGTATTTTTATCGCGAGAAGGGTACAGCAATCCCTTCCCTCGCGACTTACGAAGTCGATTATGGTTTACTAACAAACGATGTGTGTTGTTTCCCGATGAAGCACACACCAAAAATGTGTTTTAGACGTGTGTGTTAAGACGGGTAGACTAGCACCTACAGCAGCGTACATGGGATCATCAACCACACGCACACACGCTCACAGCATGGAGGCCAAGATGATTGTGCCGTCGTCGGGATACGTAGGTGCGTGTTCGTCCTATCACTCACGTGGAAAATTCTGATGACATTTCCCGTCACGGGACTGTCGCGCTACGCACCAGCAGCAAGTAACACAAGACCAGAGTCGACATCGCGGACCCTACCACCTGCCAGTCCCACTTCAGATTCTGAAGGCAGACTCTGGAGGCAGCGGAGGGCGTGATTCAGAGAAGTAGAAGTAAAACCACATCCTTCTTCTTCGCCTCCGGTGGATCGCCGGAGCCGTCGGACTGTTCTCAACAACGAGCAACGAGGTGAAGCATTCTCTTGGAAAAGTCCCGGTCCCTCGTGAACGACGTAAAGATTCTTGCTTTATCTATCTGTCCTCTCACAAGCCGTGGATGATATATCATGCGAAGTGCCAATAGGTGATGTGCTTCGAAACTTGAGTTGCTGCGACTGCAGACCCAGGCGCATAGAGCGTTCCATCGCGCCTCGCCCGGGGCGGATCACTCGCGATCGACAGCATGAACACAAGCACACATTCACACCGGGGTGCGTGATCGGGTTGTTGTCTCCGAACATCATGCACAAATAGACGACAATGCCGTGCTGTGTGAAAGTTACATAATGGCGACTTGATTCTTAAAATGATGAATGGACGCGACGAATGCCCACGAGAAGAACATGTCAGAGAGTGATTTGCACCATTGTTGTTGCTGTACCTCATTGGGTACACGGTCGTGCCTATCGCAAAATGAATGCTTGTGCTCTATACACGATGATGTCTGTCATAAAAATCCCCAACTCAACGAATATGTTGATTTCTGGTGAGTGTGCAGTCGGTGTCGACATGTTGTAGACATCAAACATAAACTGCCGTGTGATTGTGACTGCTGTGCTGCTGCGTGGTTCGCACTCTTCGTTCGAGTGTGTAGAGGCGGTTTTTCTTTGGAAATCGGCAAAAATATTGGCTGAAACATGAAACTACTCTCGCGAACTGCGAACGTACGTGTTCAATCTCAATCAACGGCTCTTGTCTTTGCACCCAAAACCCAAAGCTTCGCCACGAGGTGTAGCGTGCCGGTGTACCCCAGGACACACAACGACCGCCAAAGCTAAATATATACTCAAATCATCCCGTAAGAATTTTGACAGAATTAATTGTGAGTGATGGCGATTGACAAATGCACTGGTTGGTGTGCGAAAAGTTGGGTTTGTCCGTTCTAGACTAGACTATGCATAAGCCATCCGCAACTGATTAGCATAGATTTTTTGCGGGGAGGGGGGTGGTGATGAACCATCCCCGGCTAAGGTCTGAAAATTTTATGAAACACTACCCCGGGCACATAAATGGTGGGTTCGTTTTTTTTTGTTGTCCTATTTTTGAACGTGTTTCAACTCATTTCCCCCTTTTCCCTCAGGAAATTCGCAAAACGCAATAACCCGGGGATGGGCCTGAAATATCCCCGGTTTTGAAAACTGGTCAGCTTGATCTGAGAATTTCAGGTTGTATTTTTTTCGATTCGATTTTGCCTTTGAGATACAGGTGGTACACATTGAACAGCATCGCCTTGCCAAGAAAATCAAAAATATTTCGAGATATTTTACACATCCTCTCGGGAACCGCCCCCCCCACACACCCTTAAGTTCGACCTCAAACGGGCTCTGAAGTCAAACACTGCTCCACGAGCAAAAACAAGAAACATGTCGCTTAAATGCCAGCCCACCTCCGGAAACGGGCGAAAATACTAGGCTCTTCCTTCCTTCCAAGCTCTTCCCAAATCTTTGATGCAGTAGCAGAGTCGCCGTCCTGCCTGTGTCCCAGTTTTGCTCTTCTTTTTGCATTCCTTCTTGCATCGCGGGAACTTGATCCCCTCGGAGGCACCTTCGTCTACGGGCGCTACTCCAGTGTCCATGATCACCGTTTCCTTCACTACGCCATCCTCCATTGCGGGAACTAGGCGGGGGTACGTCTTGCTAACTTAGCACTGCTCATAGTCAGAACGCCGGCACGCCGAGCAGAAGGAAAAACCAAACGAGTCCTGAGACTGTAGGTGCGTTTCACCTTCCTGCAAGTCACGTCTTCCTCCCCCAATATCGGATCCTGCAACCCATCCCCTGACCCTTCCATCTGCTCGCTACTGCACCCAACACCTTGACTTCTCGCACCGGCTCTTCTCTAGACTCGACAACTGGCCCTGCCCCTCGCTCTTGAGCACGAGCAATCAGTCATCTCCGCGTCCCTTGGTTGAGGTGGACCCATCCCACTCGGGAGTGTTTGGTCCCGCCAAGTGGTACATCTCTCGTGTACCCTCTACGCCTTCCAGGATAGAGTTTGGCCGATAGATCTCCTTCTTACCCATAAACTCGACGTGCACCCTCCGCATGCGGTACGGAGACCACCTCGCGAAGAACCTCCGCATACCCTCCTCCCCCTCGCTGCCTGCCTTCTCCCGAAAGAAGCTTCGCAAAAAGCTGACCACCCCGTCCGCCCCCATGATTCGCTTGACAAATCTCTCCCTCCTCTTCATGGCGTTCTTTGCGACTCCGCCGATCCCATCATGGCAATCTTTGAAGTGAGATGTGGCCGCGAAGTGGTGGTCGATGAAGAAGCCAATTTGCCGGACGCTGTCGGCCAAAAAGCGGAAGTTCCGCCTTCCCTTGTACTGCTTCCCGCATCCATCGGTAAACATGTGAATCCGAGGCTTCCTGTCTTCTTTCCGGGCGGCAGCTGTTGCTTCTCTCCCATCTCCATGCAGGTAGTGGTCCGTCATCCTGGCCAAGCCGTGCAGGTGGAAATCGCAGTCATGTGCCATGTCCTCAGATGCAAAGATCCATGTTTCCGTCACGTGCACCCTGCCACCCCCCACGTGTGCGGGTTGAAGTGGACGATGGTCACCATGAGCGTTGTCTGCGGGTAAACAGGCATTATCATGCTGATGAAGAATTGGTGGGTATACTTCTCGGCAAACTCGGTCTCGATGACAAGGACACCGTCCTGAAACGTCTCCAAGCAACGCCCGTGGCAGTGCCTTCGCCACTTGGCGATAGAGTGGTGAGCCATGTACAGCTTGGTTTGCTCTTTGAAAGCCGACCAAAGATCGCAAAGCTTACCCTCCTTCGGCACGGTCTGGTTGGCGAGCTTCTTGGCCTTGATCTTCCCATCTGCTGATGATGCAGGCGCAGTGATCACGTCCTCGAACATATTCCACACCACCGTCTGCTCGGAGGTCTCCAGCTTGCTGCAGATGGGAATGCCGTCATCCCCCCCGAACCCACACTTCGCACAGTCCAAAGCGTTGCACTTCGGTTTCCGCCCCATCCAACTGTCACCCTCCGGGTCCGCTGCCCGCAAGTTGACCTTGGGGCAGGCAATCGCATCGGAGGAAGTGCCCAAATGCTTCCATGTTTCCCGCCACCTGCGGCCGCTATCTACGTTGCACCATCGACAACCGCATTCCCCGTGGCTGGTCATGTCGACATTGGCTAGCGCCTCGATGTATAGCACCTGCTGCGAGTGGATCTTGCACACGCACTGCTACATTGCAGGGAGGACCAGGCACTTGCAACGCGTCGAGAGGAAGAGCGTACGGCCAGGGTCCGTGAAGTTGTCGCTCTGTCGCTCCTTAAAGCTCTTGTAGGACGCCCAGTTGAGGAACTTGGCGTACACCGCCTCGCCCCCACCCCGCTCCGTAAGCTGCCGCCGAGGGTGGCGGTGAGCTGTAGGAGACTTGCTTTCCTTCCACATGTCGCGCTCAGCTGAGTTGCCATGCTGGCGTAACACCTCGTCCGTGTGCCAGTACTGTCTCATCAACTCCAGCAGCTCTTCGCTGGCGGCATTGCTTTGCTTAGCTCGGGGCCAAAACCAGTAGACACCGCGCTTTATCTCCTCGGTTGGTTGGAGATCGGACAGCAACTTCTTGGCACGCTCCGCCGCAAAGTTGAAGGCTTGCTCGCGAACCCCCAGCGCCGCTGCCCTACGTCTTGCTGACACCGATGGAGCCTCGTCTACGTCGTCCACGGGAAACGCCGCAGCGGTGAGGATCATTTGGAACGTGCGGCTACCCTCCTTGGTGCTACGTTGCTTTTGCGCTTGCTCGATTGCTCGCTCTAACGAGACCGCTGCGCTGACCTTGGCTTCCAACTCTCGCAAGAGAACACGCGTCTCCTTCGCAAACTTTGAGCCGGTGCCTTCCAAGTGATGCAGCGCGTTGTTATACCCCATGCTGTCCATGGACGCGAGAAACGTTTCCGTAGACTGCTGGCGCCAGTCGGCCGGCGCCGTCTGTGTGCACATATGACGAACGAGGAAGAGCGGGGGGAGGGTACGACGTTGCGCAACGCATTTAGACGTAAAAGCAAGACACGACTGATAGAGAGACCATTGCGCACACAAAACTGGGCACTTTCTTTGCGCGGGAACCAACACGGACGGGTCTCGGTCTACTTTACATGCAATGCGATCCTCTCGGTGGAGTTAAAACCCTCTCGCGACTATTCATGCAATCCGATCCTCTAATAAACCCCCGGCGCAATTATTGCGTGCCTCTTCATCAGGGTTCGATTTTTACAACGGTTGTCGGCGAAAGTACTGATAAGTGTTGATTGATGAGTTTGTAAAGGATCTCACCGGCTCAGCTGGCTCGCTTATCGTCACCCCGGATCGGGTCCTGCCACATTCGCGCAAAGCCGCCATGACGGGGTCGGCTACCTCTCTGTCGGCATTCCTCCTAGCGCCACCGCCGCTGCTGCTGCTGCCACCGGAACGCCCGTGAGCCTTCTCCCACCTTTCGCGCTTGTTTTTGAGAACCCTATGAGCCATCTCTAAGGCTTTTGAGGCTACACGTTCTTCGGTGTTGAAACCAAACACCTGTTGCTAGTTCGAAGACCTGTTGGGGCTCTTCTTGTCGACGAGAGTTGGGATCAGCAGCAGTCTCCGCGGCTGTTGTCTGGTCTCCACTCGTGCTGTATGACGTGTTTCTGGTCTCCCAGCCAAAGCATGCGCTCGCACTTGCCTGGCTTTGACACAGCTGCCGCTGGCCCAGCTTCGGCTGCACTCATGTTTGAGCCCGCGCGCACCTCAGTTTTTGTCTGATCAACTTTCTGAGTGTCTCTACCCCCCCTAAATCGGCCAAGCGGAATCGATTGCCATGGTGTACAAAATCCACATCGGTCGGGAATGCGGCGAAAAATATTTTGAAGGGGTTCCCGAACCAGTGTTTTTTGTACTTCTTTTTACGCGTTCTTTGGGTGGATCTGAAAGCGATAGAAAAAACGGTTTTGAAAAATCTCTTTTCTTCAGCTACGCCGGGCGTATGCGCATCAGTTGCGGATGGCGCTGTAAGAGAGTGACAACTTCGGGCCAACAGCAGGGAGAGGCTGCGTTCGTTGTACCCTACACTGCTGCGACGTCCACGACGAACATCGGCAGCACATGTATATCGGTGGATGGCTTGGACCCTACGTACAGTATCTTGACATTTTTTCATACTTCATAGACATGCGACTTCAATCGTACACAACGTTCCACCTACCACGTTATTCATGTAAGAACACTATCTGCTTTGGAAGCAAACCTTTCGGGGTGTTGGTTTCCCCACTTATGAGAGAAAAAGCCACGGTTGTTGTTGTTGTTGTTGTTTTCTTCGAATTATCAACCGTTCTGGTCTCCACTCCAGTCAATATTCCTCCCGGTGACATCTGTCATACCAGCCGAATGTCCGTACTGGTCCAATAACTGATGCGGACGCTTTGCGTGGTCACAAGCCAACTACATGTACACACCCGAAAGGTTTGCTCCCAGAAAATGTGTTCTTACATTAATAAAGTAGATGCCACGTTCTGTACGATTGAAGTCGACCCCATGTCCATGAGGTATGAAAAAAATGGTGCGGACGCCGTCCGTGGTCACAACCCAACTACAGGGAGCAAGTGGATTCCTGTTGATATTTTTCGTGAAGAAAGGGAGCCCTCAAGTACTTGGCCACTTTCGTACCAACTCCTTGATGGTGGCTGGCGCGTTCTGAACCCGGTAATCCGGTTATCATGAAATCGTGCGGGTCGCCGTGCGACGTTCTACTTTCTTCCGCATAGCAAGAAACTCAGATCCCGCGTCCGCTACAGAACGCGCCATCGCTCAAGAACTCAGGAGTCAAGAAATTGAGCCTCAAAGAAAAAAAAATAGAACTTGGGGCACTGGTTGTGAGGTCGGTTTACAAACCTTTATACTAACACCTATTGTCCAGAGACAAGGCTAGACTACGATATTCCCAGGCTTATACACTCTCACCTGCACAACAGATCACTAGCTAGTCTCTCCAGGTTCAGTTGTAGACGTATGCAAAGCGTTCCATCATCAACACAAGCGAGCAACAAGCGGTACTCCAATTATGCATGCGTTCCAACTCCTCCGATACTCCATCATCAGGTCAGGCGTGCATGCATGCGTGGTCGTGACTCACAGTTAGTTGTGATATCAGGTCAATAGCGCTTAGGTCGGGTTCGTTCACAAATTTTTCGTGCTCAGTTTTCAGACATCAAAGTGACTGACGGCAAGCGGCAAGATTGCTGCAAGCCGCCATTTGCAGGAACCGTTTCGTCACCGCGCGGGGAATGGTAGCCAATGGGAATTCTTCCGTTGGTTCCATTATTAACCCGAGAGACGGTTTCATCTTCTCGGCAAACCCCCCTCCGAGCACATGTGGGTTCTGTCCAAGTGCCCACCATAGGGATGTGTACTCCGGACACTTGTGTCCTTGCGTCACAAGTGTCCATCCTCGCACTATTTAGAACCGGCGCACACGGCCGTCCGGAACACTTAAAGTGACCGTTCGTTGCATGACCCTAGGAACTAATAACCCCAACCTCGGTCGAAACTATAATAGAGGTTCTTATGTGGCGATTTCTGTACAAGTTCGGCTCCGGCTTCGAGGGTTTCACTCCCACGTAGCCTTCATGGGGGGCTACAGTATTTCGCGAGGTTTTACGCTAAACGCTTATCGTCTCCCCTCATCATTTCGCGCCTTCGCCGATCGAACTCCCTGGACCGTGTTCACACCCTGCGGGAAAAGCAGGGTTGTAGCATCCACGGGAGATACGCGACGCTGCAGGTATCATGTTGTCCTCCTTGCCGGCTGAGACCGCTTTCCCACAGCACAAACGGCGGAGCAGCAGGAGCATGAAGGTGCTGGGCCCCCCAAGCCTCGAGCCCCCCTCGTCTTGCTTGTCCTCGCTGAACTCGAATCCAAGTGCGTTTTTCGGGCCGGCGTGGTCGCCGTCGTCGTCGCCAGCGTCGACACTTCGATCGCCCCTGCCCCTCGACGCCGACCAGCCGGGAAGCCCGGACTCTTCGCGTGCAGAGTCCCTTCGAAAGGGGAAAGCGTTCACTTCGGCGACTGGCAAGGCGGCGCGGAGCTATGTTCACGAGGAGGAGGGCAGGGCAACGACTCCACAAAAGCATAGGACGCACGGCGATGCCGTTAGCATTGGACGGAAATTATCGCTCGGGGAATTGTCGAAGGGGTTTCTCCGCCTCCTCGGCCGCAGGACTCTCAGCGATGATTCGTCGAAAATCGGTCCCAAGACCGGGAAACAGGACGCGCCGGAAGCCAAGGTCGTGCTTCCTGGAGATCGGTCCGAAGGAGACAGAGAGTCCGACGAAGCCCCTTCGACGGGTTCCGTCACCGACGAACGACGCCAATCCCCCCTCGGCGGAGGAGGCGAGGCCGAGGTCGGTCCTCCTGGAGATCGGTCCGAAGAATACAAAGAATCCAGAGAAGCTCCTTCGATGGATTCCATCACCGACGAAGAGTGCCAGATCCCTTCCGGCGGAGGAGACGCGCTCCCTGGAGATCGGTCCGAACAAGACGAAGAGTCCAGCGCAGCTCCTTCGACGGATTCTGTCACCGACGACGAACGATGCCAACTCCCTTCGCCCGGAGGAGACGACGTCCCTCATGAAGCGCGCTCGCCACTGGTAGTCGCGCCGTCGAAGCGAGTTGCCGCAGAAGAAGCGGGCGTGGAACATTGCAGGTCCGCAACGATAGATCCAAGGGCGGTGGAGATTGCCGCGCCCTCTACCGCCGAGCTGGCGAAGGCAACGGCAATGCCAGACACCCTGGCAAGGGAAGCGGCGGAACAAGGGTTGGTTTTGCCTTGCGGCCCCTCGGATGAAGAAAAGGTATGAGGATACTCGTCAGCTGGCGCGCGCAATGAAGAACTTGACAGTTAGGAAATTGTGCCTAGAAAACACCACTTTTGGGCCCAATAAACAACCTTACACGAGAAGCTATATAGCGGCCTTTTGTAGCATAACCGTAGGAGCAAGAACCCCAGCGGTTTGTAAGTGCGGGCGCTGACTCTAAGTGTGTGTGGGACGAGTGGCTTGTTTCGAGGAGCTGTGGAGAGTGGCGCCACTTTGTCGACAACTTACGACGCGTGCTCGTCGTGTTGCTGCCTCCATTAATCAAGATCGCACTCTAATCTCTCACGCGTGGGCGTCGATTGCGGGTGATGCTACTACCGCCGCTGCTGGCGATGCTGGCGACGCGACATTTTCCCCAGGTTTTATACCACAAGGCTGGACGTCTTACGATGCTCTTATCAGGGTTCGTGAGTTTCTGCACTCTATTGGCCGGCATGAGCTTGTTCACCATGTCCTCGGCACATTTCTACTGGTACGGCGCACCTACTGTTTTCGTGGTCGTCTACATATGCTGCCATTGTGAGTATTTAGCCAGAAGTAAGCCTTTTCCACTTTTCGTTTTGTTGCCTTGGCCAAGGGTCAGCCTCTGTATGGCAACGTACTAAGGCAGAAAGTACCCTTTTTTTTGTCGAACCTTACTGTCTTTTGTAGTGCATGACCCAAAGCACAGAGGAAGGCATCGCCAACCAACGTGAACGGGTCCCGGTGTGATCTTGATTTCGCGCCAACCTGGCTCTCGCCAAACACCTCAAAACTGTGTATGCCCTAACGGTTTAACTGGTTTTACTCTCGAACCTAAACCATGTATGTACTTTTCATCGGTAGCATCAAGCCCACACGTGTGTCTGCACGTCTTCCACACGTGCTCAGGCCTCACTTCTCCCTGAACATGACAGAACCACGCGACACACGCTTGCTCACTTGTTCATTTTGTGTTGTGGGTCCAACCCAAAGGCAGCGGAGTACGGTAACGGTTTCGCGTGCAACTCCTGCGGGCAAACTCCAGCACCGAGGTGGCATTCCGGGGCTCCCCACTCTTTCCTCCTCCGTTGACCCGTTCACGCGATCCCTCTATCTGGACAGATTTCGGCGTTTCCATCTGGGGGAGGGACTTCGATCCAGAGATTCACGCGTGCATTGTTCGGCACGGCCTGGACGTGGCGTACTCCCCGACGGTGGACGTCTTCCTGCCCGTGTGCAATGAGCCGGCGGTCCTGCTGGCCAACACCTGGAACCACGTGCTGGCGATGGACTATCCCCACGTGACTGTTCACGTGCTGGACGACGGCGCCAATGACGAGGTCAAGGCTCTCGCGGGAGAATATGGATTCCAATGTGAGTAGTACTGGCGAGGAGGAGGGGCAGGATCCCGCATGATAACCGTCATGCGCGACGCCAAGGGTTGGGCCTAGATGAATCTGTCAAAACAAGACGAAATCGAGCTACAGGCACCCATAGCCGATCGACTGCTGTGTGACAAACAGATTCATTCGCGAACATCCGACACGGCACACGCTCTTGCCACCACAATGCTGAGTTGGGACATAAATTTGTCCTTAACTTCGGGGAGGCACTTTAGGAAGTGGAGCTTTCTTAACGTTTGGGTGGAACAACCCTACCGCGCTCTGCACGCTTACCAGACATCCGGCGGGACAACCGCCCCGAGTTGAAGAAGGCGGGAAATCTCCGCTACGCCTTCGCGCGGACGTCGGGCGAAGTTATCGTCATCTTCGACGCCGACTTCTGCCCTAGACCTGACTTTTTGCGGGAGACTCTTCCGTACCTGGTGGACCCCTCCATCGGCATCCTTCAAACGCCGCAGTTCTTTCGCCGCCGGGAGGAACAGACGTGGGTGGAGCAGGGTGCGGGGGCAAGCCAGGAACACTTTTATCGCTTGATCCAGGTGCGACAAAGGGGCGGAGAGCCCCGCTGCGCAAGGGTTGGTGGTGTCGTGCGTGTAGAGCTCCCGCACGCTTGCTTGGTCGCCGGGGCTCGCAGCCACTCGACGCGGGCATCGCGTTGCGACGGGGGTCGCAGCATAAAAGTGGCGATCACTGCCGCTGGAGAAAACGAACGTCCGTCGGGTGTCGCGGTCCACCTCCAAAGTACAACACGCCTCCTTGGTGCCGTGCAACACTTTGAAGAATAATCGGAATGCACCTGACCACAACACCGTTCGTTGTCGCACGCAGCTCAACAAAGCAACCAATCATCCGGACAGCATATCGTTCCTGCGAAACTCTTCGCTCTACCCCCACCCCCGGTCTCGAACGCCGTATCTCCACGCCGGCGTGCGGTCGGTGCCCACCAATACTGCTGTGCGCCTTCCTTGTGCGGGCGCCCCCACTGCCGTCGTTATCTTTATTTTTGTCTCCAGGTTAATCTGGACCGCTTCAATGCCGCCGTCTGCGTGGGCTCCTGCGGATTGTACCGCCGCACGGCGGTGGAGTCTTTCGGTGGCGTAGCGCCTATCGAGCACTCGGAGGACATGTACACCGGGTACAAGATGAGCGAACTTGGGTACAAGGTGCGGTATGTAGGCGCTGAACGTAGTGCGAAACGTTAATTCGCACATGTGCCCTCCTTCTTGGGAGGGTCACCAAATTACACGCGCTAGGTAGCGACCGATGCTGCAAGAAACAGTACATTGGGACGGGGATCGGAAACGTTGTCCTTATCTGAGTTCAAGGTATTGCTTGCTACAAGGTTATAAAGGGGTTGGTGTGGTGAAAAAACTGCGGCTGGGTCCTAAGTCTTGATCCGAGATCCTTACATTTCTCATTCTTTCTCGGCCTCGGATTCTTTTGCTACCTTCGAGCGGGCCCGCTATTGCATGGCGATTAGCTCGGATGATGAGCTCATTGTTCAGTGCGAGCAAGCCTGTTCGTCCGAACACAACACCTTCTTCCAACACCTCTCTCTGCAATTTGTGCGCATTTGCTCGCTGTCCGCAAAGGTGAGGTACCTTCCTTTGTGCCTGGCGATGGGGATCTGTCCCGACGAGCCGCGCTCGTTCTTCATGCAGCAGTACCGCTGGTGCATGGGGACGTCGACGCTAGTACTCCAGAGAGAATTCTGGCAATCGGATATCTCGAAAATCCACAAGCTGTGCTTCTTCAACGGCATGCTCTACTACCTCGCCACGGCCTTGGTACGTGCCTGAGCTGGTGTGTAGTAGCACTGCAGTAGACAACGACGACACTGCTTTGAGCCTGCGTTTGTTGCCACCTACCGATTGGAAGACCGACGGAAGCCGACGACCACATGAGTCACATGTAGCGACACCCAGACGAGCCGCATCTACTCTCTGCTCCTCTTGCACAGTTTCCGGTGATGTTTTCATTCCATGAACGACAGAATTACGCGCGTGTCTCGTGGACGCTGCCTGCCAGTAAGCATGAAAGTGGGCCGCAACGCCGTGAGAGAGTCCGGTCGAGAGGATGAAATTGACGTTGTAGTAGTTGTGGTTGTATCCATGTATCTCTTGCTTACATGCCACGTTGCTTCTTGCGTTCACCTTGCAAACCGCTCACAAAGCTGCCTTGTCTCCTCGCTACCCGAACGTCTCCGCGCCCTCGCCGCCCACGCGTACCTTCCAGTTCGTCTTCCTGGGACCCTTGCCAATCTTGCTCCTGATTTGGATGAAGGCCGACGAAGTGCTGTGGTTTTACTACGGCTTCACAGTCCCGGCTCTCATCTACACTCTGGTAGTCGTCCCGATGTGGTCGAAGCAAGACTCAGTCTTCAAAGCGCTGACCGCTCAACGCATCAAGGTTCTCCAGAGGTAAAACCACGACCACAGGGGCTTTTTCTTACCACCCCATGCATGCTGTGTTCGGTCTGAGTCTATTCGGCTGCTTCCCCCCCCAAGATCTACCAATGATAGACCGTTCGATGCCCAGGACAACTCCGTCAGACTTAAACCCCCTCCCCAAGGCTCCACGTACATGCTGTGTTCGGTCTGAGTCTGCGGCCAATTAGGTTGCCAACTCCCCCAAGATCTGTCAACCGCAGGATCGTATCATCTTTGATGCCCAGGACAACGCTTTCAGACGTTAATCCCCTCCTCAAGGCTCAAGCTCTGAAGGCGGGGGGTCCCTGCAAATGGGATCCGGAAGAGACGGCGTTGGTTGTGCGCAAGGGGAGGGATACGTTGTTGAGAAGAGATACATGGTAACTCTCAACCGCTCCTTAGAACATAGAAACGACCAGCGTGTAGTGTTCAGTTTTCGCTCTATTGTCATAAATCCTCTCACGTGGTATTTTTTTTCAGATACGGTGTCAGTCAACAGTACCGTCCTACGGCTGAAACAGAGGTAGGTTGGTTGGCTATACCCAAAGGGATTCGTTTATCAACCCTTTCCCAGTCTTTGGTAACGACAACATGGCAAATAGTCACTCTGTACAGGTGTCCCCTCGCCCGTCTCGCTAATTATCAGCTCTCGCCGCCGCGCTTAATATATGTGCTTGTTTGCTGCAGCTACGCCAACATACTTCTGCTTGTTATTGCTACAGCTGCACGCTCAAAATACATGTAAAACTTGCTTTTGCTACAGCTACGCCCTCAAATGCTTGTGCTTGTTTTTGCTGCAGCTACGCCCACCTGTTCGCGATCAAGGACCGCCTCATGGGGACGGTGGCGGCGTGGGTGCCATCGGGCGGGGGCGCCTCGAAGTAAGAACGGTCGTCTGTCCCGGCTGCGTTTCCCCGTCAGTCATGGCGTCCAGCTTTTAGATACAATAGTCCCGGTCGTCTTGCAGATAGCGGCGTTAGTCTGTCATGTCCTATCCCACGGCATCTACTCCTGAGTGTGCGTGCAAGCCTCCAGGACGCCGTTTGACTTCTTCGCAGGTTTTGTGGCAGAGTTGACGCCGTCGGCTTTCCCAAGCTTGTTCATCTGAAGTAAGCAACATGCACGATAGATGTTTATTCGGAAGTACACCGTGCGTAGCAGTAGGGTCAATTTTGTTCTTGCTGCGGTCAGTAGGGTTTAGCGCACTAAGCAAGTAAGCGTCGCCCTCCCTCGTGTTGCAGCTCACCCTTTTCATGCGAATCGTTTAACATGTCAACACCTGACGGCGACATCCTCGCTCGGATCAATGTCTCTTTATTTAGTCGGTGACAATCAGAATTGCCTACCCTTCATTCCTGGCTTGTAGGGGTGCGGAGTTCATGGCCTGAAGAGGACCGCCACCAAAATTGCAGGGAGCGACGCCCCCCCCCCCTTGGCAAAGTAGGAAAGAACGATTGGCCAGCGGTGATTGGTCGTGCGAGAACAAGGCTCCATCCTCTCGACGACGCGTGGTCAACAATCAACAACTGAGGCATGCAACCCCCCCGTCCCCGTCCCTGTCCTCTTGCTACTCTTGAAAGGGCCTCGTCGAAAGCATACGACTATTCTGTGCGGGTCTTGGTCACCTGGAATGTCGTGTCTACCATCCTCATCGTGGGTGGCGCCATCTGGATGTGAGATACGCCCAAAGTCTCGTTCGGTGAAAACAATCGCGGTCAGGTCCAGACAAAGGAAACCGCACTTATGACAACGTGGATAGCTTTCCATTTCCGAGGTTGGGTTTGAACGACGATCAGACCGGTAGGGCAAGTAGGTTCCCGGCTTGGAAACTCAAGCTCGTTATTCCTAGAGCATTTTTTTTTTTTCTCCCATCATTGGACTCTGTCGTCTGCCCCTTTGGCCCCTATCCTCCACTTCTACTAGCTAGACGACCCAACCGGGGTCACATAGGAGGGGGGGGCTGGACCCCCTCCTGCGGTTCCTGCCTGAGATATGTTTATCGCGAGAAGGGTACAGCAATCCCTTCCCTCGCGACTTGCGAAGTCGATTATGGCTTTGCAGCGCGTCGCTTTCATCCTGGGCCAGGATTCAATTAGTGAGAAAAAAACTCACTCTGTCGGGACTCGAACCCATGACCTGGCCCTTAGCAGGCTGCGAGGTTACCCACTAGACCACCGAGGCGACCGGGGAATTATGCTTCCTTGGGATTATTAACGTTGCAAGGCGGGGTCACCGGCTTGGAAAGCCGTATCCCGTTTTCGTAACAAACGTTGTCTCTTGGGGATATTGACGTTGTTGGTGGCCTGATTTCACTTCGTTGCACCGCCTGGTTTAGAGTTCAGGACGAGAACATGACTGACCACCGTGATTCAAATCGTTCTCCGGAGCCGTGTGTGATGCCCTATATTGATTGCGACTGGTAGAACTGACCGATACACAACGCTTGAGAAATGCTCAAGGGGATGAAGCGTGCGTCATCCCTTGCACCCACGGCGTGCTACACGGTCTTCCTGTAGGTCTTCTTTTTCCGATGATGATTCATCGCATGTAATCCATCTTTATAGTATCTGCAAGCACCGCTGCCGCACATTTGCTAATGATCAAATATTTCGACTATTCCTTCCCAACGTCATGCACGGCATCGTTTTGAGACTGGTGGCACACGCAAGTTTCGTAGTCAATTCAGTGATTTCCTGGCGAGTAGTGTTGTTTTGATGTGATGTACATATTTTCCAGTCTATCCAGGATTTAGCAGGCTTGTAGTAGGCAGGGTAAAACAACACCACCACAAACGACGTGCTACATGCATTCGTAAAGGTGAGTTTCCTGAGACTGATCACACTGAAAAAGAACACCTGGACATAATCGAAGCAATACAGAAAGCGCCCGCACCTAAGAATCTCTAGTTTTGCCAAGGCTGGGGTTCTTCCTTCTAGACTATACAGTAAGTTGTTATATTATTAGTTTCTTGGGGGCTGTATCACATTCTTTGCTGCGGGCGCTTTCTGTACGCCATGGTATGGAGACGGTTATTTGACACGCCCCCTTGCCCCCCCCGTCGCCCGCCGTGCGATGTGGTCGCTGCTGCTGCTGCTGTTGTTGTTGTTGTTGTCTGCTGTTGCTCCTGTCGGGCCGGACTACAACGTGGTGGGATGGATGCGTTCTCTCCATCAGGGCCACGGTACACCCCTGGTACCATTTCGCTGCTCCCGTGGTCTTGACCATGTCCTCTTGTTGTCTGAGCCTCAGCACTCTGTGGTACTAAGCAGTCGCTTGGCCATGTATGTCCTCATGTGGTCTGAGCCTCAGCACTCCGTGGTACGAAGCCTGGGCTTGGCCATATGCCCGTGTGGCCTCGACCTTGGTACTCTGTGGTACTGAACCTGGGCTTGACCATGTGCCCGTGCGGTCTTGGCCTTCTTCTCTGTGGTACTAAGCGAACTTCTAGCAAATGCTGTGCACTATTTTTTGTGATGAGAAGGGTCGGTTTAGTACCGACTGTAATAGTACATTTGCTGACCTGTCGCTTGTTTTGCCTTTTTGTGTGTACGACTACATTTATTGTCGGGTTTCACGCATCTGACTATCGAAGTATCGATCCCTGTCTGTCCCGTAGGCCTCCTTTGCGGAATCACACGGGAACATGCCGCTAACCTGTTTCGTACTGCAACTTTTTGTCGTTCGTTTGGGTACTTGACGTAGACTTATCTAGTTGTCCACAGCAGCAGCTTTCACGTCTTGAGGGCTTGACATTCAGTAGTGGTGCTTTTTCACGTGTCATAGTGTTAGGTTTACGGCCAAGCATCTACATCAAGTGTAAACGCCGCCCAAGTAAGCTCCGGAGTGTACCCAAGTGGTGACTTTTGGCTGATGAGTAGGTCGAAACGATCAAAGAGGGGGGGGGGGCGGAACACGGGGAAAGAAGTGTCAGGGGACCCGGTTTGAGGGCATGATTGCAGCTGAGCAACGCAGGACAAAGACGGTAGAGGGTATGGAGAGGTATGTTGATGGAGTTGGTAGTGATACATACCTGTCATGCATACTAGTCTACTCCCCTCTCTCATTTTGGGTATAATAGAAGGAAGCTACAGAGAGATGTTGGAGTGGAATAGCCAGGAGAAGACGGCAGGAGTGGGCTGACAAGGAGACATTTGGCATCGATAGGATAATTAGGACAGGGGAAACATTTTTGAGCCAACTAATGACCATCAGTATTTGGTCCTGTGGGAACAATGCCCCGTCGTCTCAAGGACGCGTGGTCAATGGTCAAACAGCTACGCACGCCCCCGCCCCTCCAACTGCCCTTAGAAATTATGTGGTTTAGTCAGTTTTTTGCGTCTGCATCTGTGTTTGTGTTTCGTTTTGTCCAGTGGAGTGGCCTCAGAATCACCCACGCGCATTCACCTTAGGCATACGTGTCTGCAGGGGAGAAGGACTTGGCCGGTGTAACCCCGTGGCGGATATCCCCCGGCCTAGTAGGGGCCGAAGGATAGTTCAGGAGACTCTTATTTATGTTTGTCCGTTACTTGTGATTTTTGGTTCTTATTTTTTTAGCGTTTGGTGTGCTTGGCATCGCGTGCCGACAGAAGCGATGTGCTTTCTTTCTTGTTATCTGGTTGGGGCCTCCCTGTTTTGCTGATTTTCTCCAATTTATTGTGTTTTTATGTTAACTCTTCCTGTCGTTCTTCGGGTTCGTTCGATGGTCTCCTGGTCTGAGGCTGTCTTTTTATCTGCTATCGTGCCTGTTTGGAGATTATCTGACTCCTATTTTTATGTGCTGCTTCGAAGTAACATTTAATATCGAGATGTAGATTGTGTTTACCCTTTGCCGGGAGTAGTTGGCCTGTGACCACGGGAGGCGCACGAGTCAGTTGGATCAGTACGGATACTACAAGGTACTGAGTAGAGAGACCGGGACGAATTTTTGTGTGAAGGAAGCAACAATAAACAGTGGTAGCAACAATTCTCGTGTGCTGGGTGGTGACACCTGTGTTGGGTGATCATACTTCGCCGTACTAGGTTTGGTTAGCCGTGTTCTTCGTGTTGGGTGGGGGCGGGCGGAGAGATCTGGTCTGACGAAGTTTCTGAAGTCCGTTCCTGTGTTCGCCTGTAGGTCCTTTTGCCGTCACGTCGCCTCCAAGGGAGGGTCGTCCCTATAGTCAACGTCCTTCCACCAAAATGTGATAACAAAGGCACGAACCTACTGCAGGTACTTTGATCAATATAAAACAAGCTGTCCCACCTGCCAATCTAGTACATTTAGCGCCCGCGCTTGAGAGCGTCTATTTTACGGTGGAACATTGTAGTCAAGACCAAATTGGAATACAGTGTAAATTCGTCAATACAGAGTCCCCTATCACAAACTATAGCGCAAATTGACCACAAAGCACAGAGCTGTCATTGTACACTAGAAAAAAAAATGCAATATGTCTTCGAGTTATAAATATATATCGAAATTAGTGTGTGATCGTACCCGGCGATGTTCCAAAAATATTGAAGCGCAGTGTTCAAACGATGCGGCCCCAGGGCTTGCACCGGTGATCCATGTATGGTTTGAATAGGGTGATACAGCCATCTCAATTGCGAAATATCAAACAATATGTCAGCTTGCACTCTGTGCAGCCCCCTTCGTGTCGCTGTCCGTGAATCGAAGTCGAAAAATAGTGACCCAATAAAGGGCATTTTTTTTTTGCATTTTTTTTCAGCCCTCAATGGCATCTTCCGCGTCCTCACCCAGCCACTCATCCGTCTGCTCCTCCACCCCATCCTCTATCTCATCCTCGGCCGTAGCCTCTTGGTACTCTGCCACTAGATAGTCGAGGCTACCGATCGTACCGCTCAGGTTTCCACCATACAGGCCGATCCACTCGTTCATCTTGCCAATGGCATGCTCCACCAACTTTCCACAACTGGCTGCCTTCCACCCCCCCTCCTGACCGGGTCTCCACACCAACCGAAACGGACATGCTTCCAGACATCAAACATTTTCCGCCCCTTCTCAAAATGAATGCTCACGTAATGCCTGCCGTGCTGCCAGAACAGCTCCATCGGCTGGAAAGTCGGCGTGTATGGCGGTGTCCAAATTAACCCCCACCCCTTCTCCCTTATGTACGTCTCAGCCTTTTCCTCGAGCTTTTGTGGAAAATTCTTTTTGAAGTACGTCCGAGTGACGGAGGCTATCTCTTCTTTGCTGACGCCGTTCTTGCGGTTCGCATTGGGTAGCGACCCCTGCGCCGGCACCTCAAAGTTGTACTCAGCAGCCTTACCCTCCGACTCACGCGTCACCTTGAACGACGTGCAACCATACATAAGCAAGAGTTCGACGTTGTACTTTTTACTGTTGGTTTCGGGCACCTTGAGCTCCTCGTCCAAGCAGTGGTGGTATGAGGCGATATCGAGAACGAGAAACATCTTCTTGTTCTTGAACTGCGCATCGAAGGCCGGGGTAAGTCGGCGCCTCAACCACTGCATGAACATCCCATCCGTCATGGCGTTATGATAATCTCCAGTTGCCAACTTTGCCTGCCACAGAAATTCTGCTGTCTGCTCATCTGACATTTCGAAATCCGCCTCCCCAGGCTTAATCTTCTTCGCACGATTTTCCTTAGCCTTGAACCAACCCTCACGGATAGGAAATGCCTCCTGTAGCTCGGTAAAGGGCCCGTGCTTCGTGATCGCATGCACAATATCATACGCAAACCTTTCCCCGTTGTACGGCCTATCCCATCCTGCACAACCCCCTTATCGTCAGATGGAAAGTACGAGTACGCGGAACCATGCGCCTGGTGAACAAAGCTCTCATCCATGTACAAATGACTGCGACCCCAGCGTCCTCGGTNTCTTCGCACGATTTTCCTTAGCCTTGAACCAACCCTCACGGATAGGAAATGCCTCCTGTAGCTCGGTAAAGGGCCCGTGCTTCGTGATCGCATGCACAATATCATACGCAAACCTTTCCCCGTTGTACGGCCTATCCCATCCTGCACAACCCCCTTATCGTCAGATGGAAAGTACGAGTACGCGGAACCATGCGCCTGGTGAACAAAGCTCTCATCCATGTACAAATGACTGCGACCCCAGCGTCCTCGGTCCTCTTCGCGAGGTCCATCTTAACAAGAAAGAGGCGGATGCGGTTTTTCCTCTCCTCGTTCAACGGAGGTATTTTGATCCTACCCCTACGGCGCTTGAAGCCACGGCGCTGCAGCAACCCTCCCACGGCACGATTCGACATCTCTAATCCGTACGAACACTCCAAGTAATCCTTGACGGTACGGCGGAAGACCTGACGTCCCCCCTCGTGCTCGCCCTTGATGAACTCGTTCAGTCCATCCTCTGCTCCTTGGTGATGACACGTCGCCCGTCATCGACGCTGGTGGCCTTGCCTCGCCCCTTCCCGTTGGTCTCGTACAACTCCTGCTTGTCATACCAGAGTGTGCGAACCGCCAGGACCTTGTCCGTACCAATCCTCAAGGTTTTCGCGACCTGATGAAGATGGGTCATCCACACAGAGCGAGGGTGGGAAAAAGTTTGTAGAGGGAGGGTGGGAAACAGTTTGTAAGAATATAGCGTGTATTGCGCTGCAGTGTATTGCGTTGGTGTATGGTCCGTCCGGGACAACTTTTCCATTCACGTTTTGTGCGATAACTTTCGTAAGAAAAAAAGTTGGGACGTGAAACAACGATGTTCGTGATCGCCTCGTCGAGCTACGTCGATAGCTGCAGAGTTTTTCTTAATTTTGAGAAAATGCAACATTTTTCGCCAAAATGATCCACGGTACCCCCTAATCACACCACGGACCCCCCAACCATACCACGGAACCCCCTACTCATAGAACGAAACTCCCTAGACGCACCACGAACCCCCCTNACGATGTTCGTGATCGCCTCGTCGAGCTACGTCGATAGCTGCAGAGTTTTTCTTAATTTTGAGAAAATGCAACATTTTTCGCCAAAATGATCCACGGTACCCCCTAATCACACCACGGACCCCCCAACCATACCACGGAACCCCCTACTCATAGAACGAAACTCCCTAGACGCACCACGAACCCCCCTAACGTACCACGGAACCCCCTAATCATACCACGGAAACTCCCAGGGCTTTCTCGCTCTGCACCAATTGTAACTGCTTTGTGTATCCTCATATGCATGTATGCATATGCATACGGTATGCATATCAAACAACACGTATCCTATTGCATTCGTACAAACATTACACACACAACTGCTCCGATCACATGCATACTTGCATACAAATGCTACATTTGGTACCGCTGCGCCGCATGTGGAAGATGCGCCGCATTTGGATGCGGCGCAATCTCGCGAGAGAGCGCCACTACGGAGCGAGCTGCTGCGGACGCGACGGTGCCAGAAGCGGAAAGCAGTGCCGATCCAAATCGTAGCGTGGCCTGGCCTCCGCGTGAGGCACCACCAGAGTCCTCGCTGCGCCAGTCCTCGTCACGGGTACTGTCATCCTCGACAACATCCATGGGAGAAACATCTGGTTCATGGTCAGAACCAACAAGTGGTGCTGCTGGTGGTGCTGCTGCCGCCTGAGCAAGTCGCGCGATGGTTCCATCCTCGTTCCGCTTTTTTCTTGGGCCGCCCCATGTGTGGGGCTTGTGTGTGGCCATCTGTGTGCTGCTTGTGGAATGTATGTGTGGTGTGTTCGCGTGCGAACTTTTCGTCTCACAGCGGCATGCAAATTATGGATAAATTTATCTCATGAAATTTAGTTTTTATGAAAAACCGAAAGAAAATCCATCCGCGGAATTTCGAGAGGAATCGTTTGCCGCACTTTATTTCCAAATGGTGAAGTTGGTTCTCCCAAACGATTGTGAACAAAATGCCCTGCCAGAATCGATTTACGGGGTATAACTTCGTCGTTTCATTATATTTTTAAGATCGGAAAGTTAATCCATCTGACAAATTCCGAGAGCTATCGAAATCCGGTCTCAGATTGTTTCTCTGAAAAGTAGACCCTCCAGCAGATTATGAACGAACATTTCTGGTTATTATTTCGAAATGAAAAGTCGAGGAATAATGTATAAAAAAAAACGTTCTTTAGATTCTGCGCCTGGAGACAGGGTTTTTACGGTGCTTTTGAAATTTGGAACAACCCCTCCTACCCCGAGAAAAGTGCACCTTAGTGCAGGGTGACAAAGTGGATCGGAAGCCCACGACGGACCATACAACAGCCGGTATTAAAGGGGCGGCAGAGTGTGGATAACCGTACAGCGCACGCGAGGAGCATGGTGGTGCCATCCACATGCATAGATTCTTTTACATTCAGCGGTACAAAGCGCTGCTGTGACTGCTGTACTGGTACACTGCTGTACATCTGGCAGCATACCGTTATATATGCCACCCAAGTATTGTACAGCAGTAATGGGCATCAGCACAGCATTGCAAGCAATGTGGCCATGGGCCGGCAGCAGTACTGGCATGATGCACGACATGTTGTAGGGCTGTATCAAGCACTGCTGCTGTGCAAAAACCTCGGGTGGGATGTATTCACACATACAGCAGTTGTACCAACAACGTGGCACTGCTGTAGACTAGACTGCTGTAAAAACGTGACGACAACATGCGTCTATATACTGGTACTTTGTACGCAACAGCCATGTTTTCTTGGTCCTCACCTGCTCCTTTGCGTGGTTCTCAGAGCTGACTCCTTTCACCAGGTCGAAGTACAGCATGAGAATAATCCGCGACTGCTGCAGGGTGGTGAGCTCTCCAGTCTTGGGCCTCAGCGATTGCACAGAGTCCTAGACAAACTCCAGCGCGAGAGGGAGAAGCTTGGAATTCGCCCCTTCAGCAGCCTTGTTGACACGATCCTGCTCTCGCCGTTCGCGCTGCTGTTGAAGCACGTTCGACCTCGCGATTTCCCGCGCGAGCTTCTCCCGATCCCTGGCCACTGACGCCTTCATGGCCTTCACCTCTTCTTCCTTGGCCGCGAGAGCTGCTTCGGCAGCGGCGGTGGCCGCCCTTTCTTCTTATCATCCAGGAGCTTGTTCATAGCCTTTGCATTTCTCGCGGCCGCAGCGTTGGCCCCCTTGATCGCTTTAGCCGGACGGCCACTGGTGCCGCCTGTGGGCACCCGCCTACCACGCTTGGTCATGGTGGGTGGCGGATTGGCCAGGTGCCTGGCGTGGACGACGGGTTGCTCTAAAACGGCAGGCTCAAATGTTCTGTTTTTTTGGCGTTGTACGCGCTAGTCTATCTTGACCGTTTGCGACAGGTTCTATTTTAGAACCTAATTACTTTCCCGAACCGCAACAAGTATGCCCGCTCGAAAATTGCTGCAAGTGCCTGCTTTTAGCGCCGTTCACTTCGTACTGTGACTATTCGATGGGCATGAAACCAGCATCATTCGACAGCTGATGTAACAGGATTTCTGTTGAACCCGCCCAGTGTGTGTATTGCTTAATTATTGCATGCAAAAGTTGCAAAAGATTGTGTGTTTATCAATAAACTTTTGCGGGAGAAGACATTTTGACAGAATTTTTTTTAAGACAACCGGCAGTGCCCAATTTGGTCTTGATTAGTCTAGTGTGTTCCACCGTAATAGTTGGCTGAGGCTGGGGCTCTTAGCTCCTGGGGTCGTTCTACGAAAGGTCGTTGTATACAGAGTAGGTTTTGGTTGTAGGGGTTCAAAACCAAGCCCCCAAAAGGTGCTCAAGTTCTTCGCTTTCGAGATGATTCAGGCTTTATCACGGTCGAAACTGCCAAGGCGGAAACTACTACAGTTGTAGTGCTATTTTGCTGCATGGACCATGCCATCGATACCGATCTGGAGGGGCTCTGGGGCTCGGGGGATACGTGGGGGGATGGCAAGGACGACGGGGCGTTGCTCCTGCTCACGTTGCTAGTCTGCTACTCTCACGGTCCTGGGGGCAACCTTGTTCTCGGCGCTTCTGACAAGGGGCTGTCCATTCCAAACATGATCGTGTAGCAACGAGGGACACGCGTTAACCAAGACCATAGGCCTGCCAAAACGATGGACGCCACAAACGAGGCCAGACGAAAAATTATTCGCCAGCACGATAATAGAAGAAAACCGAAAGACGAGACCCGTATGATTGAAACAACGACGTACCAAACGGCAGTTCTTCGATCGTCGTGGCGACGGTGGAAAGCAGTGGTAGCTCTGGACGATTTCCTACCACGAAGTCCTACCTTCTTGTAGCAGGCAGGAAAGGCCCAACCATGCAAACGGAGACATCGGATTGAAGTCAGGTTGTTTGAACTGAAAACGGCCCGCCGACACTCAAAACATGTCCAATTCTCAATCGATCGAAAACAACACGAAATCGGAAGCAGAAACCGCCGAGTTCTCCGTCGCTAGTCAGCGCGCACAACGAATCATCCGCAAACGCGCCACGGGACGTTGTGATATTTTGCGAAGAGTACCCCCGAAAAAAATGGTATCCTCACAAGCTGAAGACACCTTGATCCACCGACGTAACCCCAGCACTAAGAAGAGGATGGTATCCCCACAAACGTGAAGGCACCATGATCCACAGACGTAATTTCCGATGATAGAAGAGAACAACGAAGGGCGGAGAGGGCGATCGTGATCGAACCAGCGTTGTGGAGGAGCGGACGATGCTGCAGCAGTGATCTGATTGAAGAGTCGGTCCAGGCATGTATCTTACCCAGCAGCCACAGTCCATCTTGACCCTTGATGTGCCAGTAGAATGCGCCGACAGGTAAGGAGGGACGTAGGGGCGAAGCGGCGCTCCCGTGTGGAACGGGAGACATGAGATTAGACCGAAGGCAACTCTGTCGCACCATCGCTCTTGCCACAACTCCGGTGCGCAACTAACTGGCGACAAGGTCGATCTTGTCCGGTATTGGTCGGGCATATTGTACCAGTCCGGAGATGTGATCTGGAGGAAGATGAATGAACATCGTTTTCAATCTTGTCTTGTGGTGGTCTAGAACAGGGATGACACCACCATGACCACCAACAGGTTGATGGCCAGCAGTTCGTTTAATCTCAAGGCGTTCGACCGCAGCCGACGACGTCGCCTTCGGCAACATGGTACGAAGTAGATTCGGTCCTCGGTTGTTGATAACCGCATGCTGAGTGAGATAACTGCATGCTGGCTGAGACCGGAAAAAGAAACCTCAGCACGTCATTGGTGCCATGTGTGCTTACGCAATAGATATGCGGCGAGTCCCCGAAGCATGGACTTTCGAGTGTGTGCCCCGGCACTTCCGTCGCGACGGGAGGTCCAAGAATACCAACTGAGTCGTAAAGAGCTGCTATCAAGAGCCTTTGAACAGAGGCCGGCACCCTAAACGTAAGCGGACCTGTGCAAAGCAAAGACATTTTTGCTCTGAGGACCTTGTCAGTAGTGATCGAACACCTTGGAATGGTGAATTCAGACATGAAAAAACACATCCCATTTCCACCAAAAGCCCTATTTCCGACGGTGCGGTGCCAAATCGCAAGTTTACGCAAGCAAGCACCCGAAAGGGCTGTGAAGTCCGACGCCCATTCTGCGAAACGAACGACATTAAAATAGTGCTGCTCACGTGCTAACTCATGAGCACGGCAAGCGACATGGTCACGACCCAAGCTTTGATGACCTCGAGCAAAAGGATGCTTAATGGCAGTCATCGACAGCCTAGGGAGAGGCGGTTACAGGTTTAGAAGCACTTCACTAGGTGCTAACCCAGCGACGGCACAGAGTTTTTACACGCGACTTCCCACATGAGAGAGATGACCATCCCAATCGTCTCGCCTCTCGTTGACTGTCACAGCACAAGTCTAGATAGACCGTTGGGTCATCGCTCGCTTCCATTGCAACAAAGTTATCAATAGCTCATCTCGTTGTGTCTTGTCGCGCCAAATTATCGCCCATGTCGGCGTGCCCCACGTCCAGAGCAGCGCGCACGCTCCGCCGAGTCACCGCCCCCGCCTAGTCCAGAAAACCAAAAATCTGAAGTAGCAACAACAGCAGTCCGCTCAGCTTCTCTGGCTTGCTCACACGACCGCTGGGGAGAGCTCGTCGTACACACCGAACGAAACAGATGCAGTGGGGGGCGCTCACGAATGCCTCTTGAACAGCACCAGCGGCCTATGCAGTGCCGATGAAATTGGCTGGGTACAGACTGAACCAAGTTGTTCTGCACTTGAATAGCACCGATCAATGCACCGGGCACATATCAAGCGATATTGAAGCCCTCCCACTATGGTGGTGTTGCAACAAATTGCGCAATCTTGGGTTCGTGGGGAGGGCGAGTTGGATATACCCCCTCCCCCCCGAACCCTGTCCACATCACCCATTGCCGTAGTGTCTGCCATCCATGACCGTACCGCTTGCCGAAGCGCAACGCACGGTCTTGGCGTTCAGTTTGCCACAGGAGGTGTCGATCCGAACAGATGTCCCCGCGACGATGATAGACATGACATCAATTCTTGGTTGGTGACTTCCTTCCCCATCACGCCGCACCACTTTCTTGGTACTCTCCACCTGGGGGAAGAGGTAAAAAAACAAATTGAAGCACGAGTTTGCAAAGCACCAGAAGCGCAGAACGGACGGGTTTCAATAGAGCTCGAGATTGAAAAGTTACATGAACACTTCCAAGTAAGACGTGCACGTGATTGAACCCCAGGGTTTCAGGAGTATCAGGCGTTTCGGTTTGCTCCCGTTGGCCACGCGTTTCTACCTGTGGAGCGGTCCCAGTCACCCAAACAACAAAAATTATTCCGCTTGTTGACAACAGTGCCCTCCACCCCCCAGCAGTGCTGTTATGCGCCCTCCAGTCAACAAAGCACTTCAACTCACCGTCCAGCTCCGAAGTCCAGTCGAAAGCCTTCCACTTCTCAAGGAACGCCATCACCAGCTTCCTCTCCTCTTCCACCGCCNAGAACGCGTCTGCTCAAACCGTGCCTGCGCGCTCCTGCATCTAGACGAGCCCGGTGCCACCAAGTTTGCCCGCGAACAGAGACCCACGTGTGGCGAACGCTACACTATTCAACTTTGGCTCAAGCCAGGAACACGTGAGGCGTGCCTGCGGGAACCAATTCGCCCGCCGCCACGTTGCGGGGTCACTCGATCGAATGATGTGCTCGGCCCGAAGCGCCCCTCCTATTGTTGCTCCCCGCCCCCCCCCCCCCACCTACCGGCACCCCGGCCCCTCCCTCTGCCGCCGAAGCTCGGGGGGTCGGTCCCCAGGATGCCAGCCAGAGTGTCGACGCCGAAGTCGCGGGGGAAGTTGGCTTCCTGCGACGTCAAGTGCACGATGTTGTAGAGAGGATGAAGGCTTTGCGAGAGGACTGAGGGCAGACCGTGTCAACGAAGTATGCACTTGGCGAATCGGGGACCCAGGAGAGCGCCTTGTGCTCGCCCTCACATCGGCACTTCCTTCGAAACCCAACTCGCCCGCTCCCACCACGGGGGCGTTTGGTTTGGGACCGCCTTCGCGGGAAATTCAGGACAATAAGGGAGGGGGTACGCAGTCCCTATTCCCTAACCCTAATCCTAACCCTAACCCAACTTTTCCTATTGTATGCTGCATCCAACATGTTTCCTGAATACAGAAAACCTGTGAAGGCTGCTTTTAGTTTGAGGCATGGGCGGGTTCCTGCAGACGTTGTTCGCGCACGCACGGAGCACTCCGTGTTTTTCGTAGTTCGTACCCTATTCGTCACAAAAATGAGGCGGGGCTCAAGCGTGCCTACTATGGCTGCACACGTCAAGACCATGAGCACAGGACACCGTTTGTCACCCGGAGCCCCCGCCTCACCTCCCCCTCGATGATGTTGGCGTAACCCCCGTCCGCCCACTCCACATGGAAGAACGGAAATCCCTTGGGGACCGCCCGCCGGATCCCCCCCCTGAGAAAAAAAAAGGAGAGAGCGTGCACAAGGTGTGTGCGTGTAAATTTTTTAATAAGCATCGACCGCGCTAACCGGCTGACCGATGAAAAGACGTCAGTCTCAGTGCGGTTGTGTGTGCGTGCGTGCGTGCGTGTTGACCGTGCGTGCGTGTTGACAAATGCTTTCTAGCGTTTTTTTGAAAATGTTGCCAGCAAGCGTTTGCTGCCGGAAAACCTACGCAAGATGCGGCCGTCAAAAGCTTGATCGAATCTGACTGTGGAGCGTCGAAATTGGAAAGCCCGTGGGGGGGGGGGGGCTAGGGCACCGACAACACGTTACCGCCGAAAAATCCGAAAAATCCAGGGAGAAGATTGCGCGAGGCAGTGCCAAAACGCATTGCTCTTGCGATATTCTCTCAGGAATCGAGGCACTGCCAAAACGCAAGGCCCATGGAGGCTCCCTAGGTGCTAGCACATGGACAAGGGGACCACAGCAGTATTTCTTGAGTCTAGCCAAGTTGTCAGAGGGAGCGCTTCAGGCAAAGACTACACACGCGCGCCCATCGCCAGCCACTTGAGCCACAATCTGCGTCACCCCGTACTTGAGGACAGCACACGGGCTTCAAACTTGGATTCTTCCCAGTCCGGAGACTGCACTGCAGAACGTGCCCGCACTGAACCCAGTAGTAAAAAAATTGAGCCTCACAAAAATCAAGAGTGAAGAACTGGACACCATATGATCAAGAGTGAAGAACGGAACACCATTTGTGAGCTCGGTTTAGAACCTCTACACGAAACCTGTATAGCGGCCATTCGTAGCATGACCCTAGGAATACAGTAAGAACCCCAAGCCGCGGCCGGCACTATGAAAGAGGTTCCTGAGTGCGGGAGCGTTCTGTGCAGGAAGCGCAAGTCGGAAGCCTATCGACAAGGAATCAAGTCCCGGCTGAAAGTATTTCCGTTGTAGCATAATGGTCAGTTTTGCATCTGCGTGCACCCGAGCCATGTGCGCTCGCCGCGCCTGCACGCTGTACTGCGCATCCCTCTCCCCAATCGTGGATTATTGATAACGATGGTTTCCGAAGAATCTGACACCAAGTGTGAAGCGGGGGGGCAAGGGTATGAACACAGAATGCTTCTTCGACGTATGGAGCTCGCTTCCGACTTGCCGGAACTCCAACAATGACCAAGCATGCAAACACACCGTCCAACCCTTACTGTTATCACCTGCGGGGGTCGGAGGGTATACATTTCTTGTGCGTTGACCACTCGTCCCCGGCGTCCATGAGTGCCTGCTCAGGTCAAACAAACACGTCACAGGAGTAGACAGCGCATGAACGACAAAAAAATATACTTCGAAGTACGTACGTTTGCCTGCTCAGATCAAACTAACACATCACGGGAGTAGAAAAAACAAAAAATACAAATTGGTTTGCCTGCTCAGATCAAACACACACATCACAGGAGTAGACAAAACAAACAGTTGAAAAAAATCGAGGCTATCCCTTCATGGGTAGGTAGCCTGTCACCGTAGAAGCTGTCCGAGTCCGGTGGACTAGAACGGATTTTGGAAGGCACAGAGTGGAGATTGGAGCAGTTCTTCATGCTGTGCCTTCATGTTGTGGACGACAACCATGCATAGACAGGGATATGGAGTTGTGACCGGCTTTGCGGTGGAGATGCTACCCGCCGATCAATCGCACCGGGAGAGGCATAACTGTTGCAATGAAAAAAGGAAACGAAAAACACGGCAAGTCCGACCTATCGCTATAATATCATCACCCACAGCCTTCATTCATCCCTGCTTTCGCGTTCGAAAAGCAGCGCAAACCGCGTGGTTTTCGAACACGCCATGTCCAACCAGATGAGGTGCACTACCAACCGCACAGTCCTGCCCCCCCGGCTACCAATTCCGAATGATCCTAGGTTCTTGCAAGAAACACAAGAGTTATCGCTGAAACCACCAGCATTCAGTGTGGTGTGGTCAAGACCTTGAGAACAGCTAGCTCTCTCTAGGAGCGGCGCAATCACAACAGCAATCGATTGGCAACACTCACACGCCGCACACTCAAATGTGCCGGAAATGACCAAGTACAGAGGGGCGTTTGGCAAGACTCTTTCGCTGCAAAGCCCTCACAACTGGTACTTGTACGCCAAACACGCGGCCGGTCAGTCGACAGCAGTCACCTGTCGGAAGAAGATGGGGGCGTCTAGCGAGGCGTTTCTCGGTACGGGGACGGCTTCGATGAACGCGTGTCTTGCCGCGGAGGAGCCCGGCTTTCCTCCCGTCTCCAGGAAAATAACACCACCGCCGCCGCCGCCGCCGCCGCTGTCACCATCCTTACTATCGCTGTCGTGATGTCCGCCCTTCGACGACGATTTCTTCTTCTTCTTCTTGTTGCTCTTGTTCTTCTTCTTCTTGGCCTCCTTGCTGCTGCTGCCGTGCTTCTTCTTTCTGTCCCCGCTGCCGCTCTCGTCCTCGCCCTCGTTGGCACCGTCGTCGTCGTCGTCGTCGTCGTCGTCGTCGTCGTCGTCCGCTGCTGCCATCTTTCGCAGCGACGACTTGAAGAGCTCGATCTCTCGCCATACCTCCTCGTCGCACGCCTTTCAAGGGTCCCCCACCATGAGGGCAAAATAAACATTTTCGCGGGGCTGAGGGGTTGGGGCCGGGGAATCGAAATTTCGGCGCGATAAACAGGGTCTAGGAATAATATTTTCGGTGCGATTAACACCATCACAAGACACCAACTACACCCGCGAGAAATGCCGGTTACTCAGATATCCGTAACGGCCACACGCAATTGCTGGCATTATTGTGCCTGTTTTTGGCCATTCTTCCAACCGTGTGCCCACCAAGAAGGACACCTCACCGTTGACAGATCTACAAAAAGGAGACGTGGTCCAATATTTCACGGCTCTTCTACTGTTTCATGGCGATGAATTTCCTCAAGGAAACGCGGTCAACAGTTCAGCGCACTTCTACACTCTCATCCCAAACGTTACAGAGGAGGTACAGCAGACGAACGAACCGGGTCATAGACCTCTGAGAGAAGCAACACTCAAGGCACGGAGTCGTGGCGGAATATGCCGGGTACTCGCAGACCAGCCGGGCACGGCACTAGACCACCCAGCGGTGTTTGTTGGCGGAAAAGAGATGCATCGCTAAAAGTCCTTGCGAGGCCACGTTCCCATAGCTCCCTCCGCCCTTACCGTTGATGCCGGTGTGTGGCGTATCGGCACGATGTAGCAGTGCCCTCCAGAAAGGCGGTGGGTGCCCGTGGCCAGGTAGAGGTACGTGTGCTCTCCCAGCGACAGCACCAGCCGCTTCTTGAACGACGACGAGTCCATGCACAGAGGACACCTGAGAGAAACAAAAAACGATGCTGCACGTTTAGGGGTTTGCGCATGATGGAGGAACACGTGGAAGGGACCGTAAATAGGTACTGCTTGGAGGTTTTTTCGTTCTTTTCGTTCTTATTCTCCTTTTCATACGTGAGCATAGGCTTCGAAAGGTCAAATGTGCGCCGCGGTTGCGGTGGTTATGTCTCTGCCAATGACCCTTTCATGCGTACACATGTCACGTTGTTGCTAAGACGACCGACCGAACACCGGGATCGGAACAAAATAGAGGTAAGAAAGAGCGGGAGGGGTTCGAAAGGGAACAAAAATCTCGCACCACTGGCGACAAGCAACACAAGAGGAGACACGCTCGTATACCCAGGAAAACACAAAGGAGCACGAGCAGCTATAATAGAGCCGAGTGTTATGGCAGATTCACGACCGCCCTCTACCCCTCCCCGCGCCCACAGACAGAACAACACATGTACGGTCAGAGAGGACAATGGGAACGCACCTCAAAATCAACTCCAACACGAGCTGTGCAGAGGCGGGAACAAAACAAAGCAAATAAACTGGCGAGACAAAGGTGGCCCCCGCAACAGCGCTTGAGCTTCCGTTCCCACTGGCGGGGGATGCCGCAGTCAATCGCATAGGGCGTGAGTGGAGCTACGTGCGGATGGAACGCTTTCCACAATGTCCTTTCAAGAGAATAGCTGGTTTTATCGTTGGCAGGTCGACGAGGGAAACGTGGGGCAACAAAAACAAAACACAAAAAATGACAAAAGCTCCAGTGTGACCTTCCTCTTGGGTGAATGTGTAACCCCGGCTGATATCTACCGTCAGGTATATACGCCGAAAGGCCTGTAAAGCGGCGCCAGAATAGATGGAACGAACACACACACACACACATCCGTGACATGGTATTCCGGAAGGTGTACACGGTGGTCGCGTGGGGACAAGTACAGAAGGGATGAGAGTACACGTCATCTGCTGTAGCACGGCGACTACTGCGCTGCTGCTAAGCTTCCTCTCCTCGCCATTGGTGACTCGAGGACGGCTTTTCCTTTGCGGCGTGATGACTACTACAACAGCAGCAACAGCAACAGCAACAGCAACACCACCAGCAACGACAACGACATACCACGCTTTACCTGGATGTGACAGCCGACTGTCGGCGGTGCGCAGCAACAATCTTGGCCTTCTGACGCTCCGCCGCCGCGACGGCCGTCATGCGGTCTTCCGGCCTCTGGAACATGCGCATATCCACCTGAAACGTGACACAACAGGCGGACAGGAAGGAGAAGCAACAGGCAATAGGCAAACAGAGAGAGGGAGCAGACAGAGACGTGCTCGACTCATGAGTCATCTTGCAGCACCAACAACGGCGGCTGCAACAACAGCAACAGCAGCGACATCAACAACAGCGGCCACAAGAGCAAACCCACAATACAAACCAGTGACAGCACCAGCGACAAGTACAACAACAACAACAACAACAACAACAACAACAACAACAACAACAACAACAACAACAACAACAACAACAACAACAACAACAAAAGCAACAGCAACGGCAGAGCATCAACCAAAACCGCAACAACAAAACCCACACTACAAATCAGCAACACAGCACCAGCACCAGCGACAACAACCACAATACACAACCGCAGCAGCAGCAGCAGCAGCAGCAACAGTAACAGCAAACCCACACTACAAATCAGCAATACAGCACCAGCAACAGCGACAACAACAACAACAATAACAATAACAAGGCTCTTGCTCACATCTTCTTCCTCGTCCTCTCCAGCGAGACCCGTGTGCGCCCCTCCAAGCTCGGTGCCCTTGAACCTACTCCCAAGGCGGGACACATTTCGAACGAAGGTTTCGTCCATGTCTTCGAAGCCCTGCGTGGTTGAATAGGGGGGCATGTGGACGGGGAAAGCGAATATGTCTTCACATGGGAGAGGGGGAATTGAAACGTCTAACTGCAATACACGCGAAGTTGTTACCTGCAACCATGCTTCCGTTTTCGGGTTCCTTCTTTTGATGGAGCCGATGTCTTGCCATGCGGCATACTGATACTGCCACCAAAATTGGGGGGGGAAACAGAAAAACAAGAAAGCACCAGCACCTAACAACTCGCACGCAGGTTTTTGACAAAAATCGCAACAATCCCAACAACGATATCCAGCCGTTTTACTCGCGCTCACTGTCAAGACTCCAACACATTTTTTTCCACTTTGGTTATGTCTCGAACGGATGTGTACTCTTCTTTGCCTTTACATGTATACGTGTAAATGTTCTACGAAGTAGGGTCACTTGTGGTACTGTAAACGTTGCTGCTTCTGTTGCATCTTTCATGCATGTGGACAGTACGGTGCGCTATGATATCCCTTTCGTAGAGCACCAAGCGAGTCAATCGGTGTCGAAGAAAAGATACTGATGGGCACACAACATGGCCCGTTGCTGTTTGTTGTTCTCCCACCTCTTCTCGCTCCCGGCGCACGAAGTCCGCCACGCTCTCGTCTTTGTGTTCCGCCCACCTGCCCCCGGCCTTCTTCAGCTTGCCCTTTCGTGCTCTGCTCGCGACCGATGGATGGACGCACATCGCCCCGGCACAGAGTCGGCGCAACAATCACCGAGAAAACACGAATCGGCGGGAGAGACATCGCCACCGCGTGCACGCATGTGGAATAAAGCAAAAGGCCCGGAGAGAAGCGGTGGGGGCCGCGGGGGGGGGGTAAAGGATCAAACACGGCACTACGTGGGGGAAACACGCATCACCAGGGATGGATAATACAGTATGTCTACTTCGAAGCGATGTGTTCCAAATTACCGTAAATGACACAAGATAACACACCCCCTGGACCGATTTTCAAAGCTCGATTGCTCCACGACGAAGAGGATGCATAAACGAAATGATACATTTTCGAAAAGCTCTCGACGAGACGGTTTCAACGTCGCCGTTTTCGGCGCTGTGACCGTTCCTGCAGCTGAGAAATCGAGCTTCGAAAATCGGTCAAGTGGGTGTGTCATCTTGTGTCATATACGGTACACGGAAGGGCGGATGCCCCCCCTCTCGCCCCACCCTCTCTCTGTAGTCGGAAGGGGTGGGTGCCCCCCCGCCCGCCTCCCCCGTCTCCCTTGGCGAGCGTTGATGCTCGAGTGCCCTTGGTGCTCGAGTGTCGCTCCGACTCATTGGGATGATGCGTCGTGTCCCTCGCATCGGACCACACACCAAACCGAGCCGCAACAATAAATCCAGGCTCCTTCCAACCCCCCGAAAACCATGCCGCTTCCTGTCTCTACCTAGGTGCATTTTCGGCGTTGGTGCTGTCGGCCAAAAGGTTCGACCACACACGACCACCGTATCTGCACTACAAGCACCCTTAGTGGTGGCCGAGGAGAAAAAAGGAGGAGTGTCTGGCCAGTCGGTCACCGGAGAAGAACATAAATGAATCAATCATCATGTGCTTCGAAGTTGTAACTGGACATTCGCCTACCCGGTCCTGAGGTCCTCCCTCATGAGAGCAGCGCCACCGGTCCGGATAGGCCTCCCGTTCTCGTCGAACGCCGTAACAACCTCCAACTCCTCCTCCCCGTCGTCTCCTTCACTCCCATCCTCCTTTTTGTTGTTCCCCCCTTTCCGTACGGTTGTTCTAGGAGTCCCTCCGACAGTCCCGCCTGCGGCGGCGTTGTCGTTGCCGTTGTCGTCGTCTTGTCCGGGTTTCCAGGGGGCTGCTGCTGCCGCCGCCGCCGCCGCTGCCGCTGCCGCCGCGTTCGCCTCTCTTCCGGCACGAGCCTGGGTTAGGGGTAGGGTTTAGCAGCCCACACACAATCGCGGCAGTAAGGGGAACAGGGGGTTCCACGCACGAATAAGCAATCCGAGAGACGCAGCCGCGCGTGGAGCAAGGAAGCCCCCCCCCCCCCCCNCCCCCCCCCCCCCCAATAGAAGAAAATCAAAACACGAAACTGCCCAGAAACACACACAAACAGTTGCGTGGATCGGTCTTTCGCTGCATCCTTTACTCGGGAGAAACGGGAATCGACGAGGAGCGGACGTTCAACACCCTACCCCAAACGCACCTCCTCCGCCAGAACAAAATATTAAAAATGGAGACATACAGCAACGAGGAGCGACGTCCAACATCTAACCCCCAAAATTCACCCAAGACTGGCGAAACATATGGAGACAAGACATCGATGAAGAGCTAGCTACCTTCGACGCTCGACGTCTAGACGCACCTCCTCCGTCAGGCGCGCGTGGGAGGCCTTGTCCCCCTTAAGCTTGGCCTTCATCGCCGCGACGGCTAGCTTCGTCAGCTCCGCCTCGGTCAGCAGCTTCTTCGCGGTGGGGGTAGCCTTAGCCTTACCCTCCTCCGCCACCCCCGCCGTCTTTCCAGGCCCGATCGCCTTACTCCTATCACCGGGGGGGGTTCTCGTCGAAAGCACAGGTGTCTCCGCAACCGCAACAGCAGCAGCGGCGGCGGTCTTGCGAACCACGTCCGCCGGCCGGCCGCCTGCGCCGGCGTCGCCGACTCGGGAGCGCCCGGCCTTGCTGCTGCTGCTGGCACCGGCTTCCTCCCTGTCCCCCCCGCGACCTTCGCCGCTGCTCGAGAGGCCGACAGGTTTGCTCACGGCAGTAGTGCTGCTGCCAACCTGAACATCAGTTTCGCGGGAAGTTCCGGCTTCTCGAACAGAGGTCCGTCCTCCACGGCTACTACCGCCGCTGGGGAGTCTGTCTCTCGAGTCGTCGCGCATCGCTCTCCCGCCGATCGGCCCGGCGCCATCGGCCCTTCGATACCCGCCGGCATCAACCGAGCTGTACCCTCCTTCTCCTTCTCCTCCTCGGCCGCTTCTGTCGCCACGATGCCTCGAGACGTCTCTCCCTCCCGCCAAGCGGCGGCCACCCCCGTCCGCCGCCGTCTCCCGCCGGTCCCCGTCGAGGGCACCCTCGCCCTTGTCCCAGTCGCGCGCCTCACGCTCGCGCCAACTCCGGCCGCCGCCGCCACCGCTGTCGGCTGTGTCTTCACCCCGCGTTCGGCCTCTGCTGCTGGCATCTTCTTTTTCCTCGCGGTGGTTGTTGTAGTCTTCCCGCCTGCTGGTGCCCCTGCCACCGCCCGACCTGACACGATCAGCAGCAACAGCAGCAGCAGCAGCATCTTCACGTCTGCCGCCTCCGTCTTCTTGGCGTTGCCGCTCTCCACCGCTCACCGCTCTCTCCGCCTCACCGCTGAGACGGTCCTCGCCCCTCCCCCCCCCCTCCCCACTATCGCGGGGCCCCCTTTCGCGATCATCACCACGGGGCCCCCTTTCGCGATCCCTACAGTCGTCACCGCGGGGCCCCCTTCCCCGATCCCTGTTTTCGTCACCACGCGCCCCCCTCCCCCCATCTTCACCGTCACGGAGCCCCCTTTCCCGATCCTTGCTGTCGTCACGACGCCCCCCCCGGTGTCTGCGGGTCTCGTCGTTCTTGCCCAAAGCGTCTTCCAGCTTGCTCGAGAACCGCTTGAGGACGTCGGTGTCGTTCGCGTCGCGGCCGATCCTCAGACGCCCGCCGCGCCTGCCCCTGCTGCCGTCCCTTCCGACCTTCGGAGAAGCGCAATGATTGGGGGGGGCGGTGCGGTATTCCATTTTGGTAGTTGTCGTTCGACCATTCACCACGCAGCATTTGTGATGGGCTAGTGTAGCAACCGTTCTTACAGCTCTTCCTTTACAGCTACAAATCGGTGTTCTTGGCGATTCTAATTTGTGGGCGTCAGGAGGCTCATGGGTTGAATCGATGCTCTTTGACACACAGTCTTCTTGACAACACAATTGGCGGGCGTCAGGCGACTTTTCGGCTGAACCGATGTGATTCGACACACACTGGTCCCCACCCGAGCGGGCAGCTTCTCGACACGAACACGCGCACACACGCACACACGGGGTGCCACACCATGGGCCATCAGAAACACTCTGTTTTCAGTTTTCAGCGGCACTGAGACTGGCGCGTCTTTTCATTGATCAGCCGGTCAGCACGGTCGATTCTATGAATAAAAAGACACAAATACACATGCCACATGCAGACACATATCGCTAGGCCTCACCCATGACGCCTCAGATCATGGCCTTTAGAAGCGTTTTCTGTTCTTCAGCCGCACTGAGACTGGCGTATTTTCATTGGTCAGCCAGCCGGTTAGCGCGGTGTGATCAAGAATACACGCACACCACACACACACACCGGTTAGCGCGGTCGATGCTAACAAAAAATACACACCCTCAAGACACATCTAGGGAGACGTTTGCTCACCTTGCCGAGAAGACTCCCGGTGTCGTCCGCGGATATCCTTCCCTCTCCGGCCGCCAGGGAAGCGAGCTCGTCCCGACCCTGCTGGTACCCGTAGCGACCCCCCCGCCCACGCCTACCACCTGCGGATGCCCCCCTGGAGTCTCGCTTGAGCTGGTCCAGGGATCCCCACCTTACGAGGACGTGGGCAGGGCGAGCGCGGGGGGGATGGTGGGGGGGGGTCGATGGGAGTAGGGGGGGCTTTAGCCGCCATCACATCAGAAAAACAGGGAGAAGAAAAAACGAGGACAACGCTGCTAAAGAATCAAAACACGGAAAGCGAAGAGAGGAGCGACCTGCCGACAAGGAATGGAGGGACAAACAAGCAACTAAATGTACATCACTTTGGTCCGATTTTGAGGAGCCTCGCGCGGGGTACCAAACTCTTGAGTGATATTACTCTAAGCGTCCACGAAATTCGGCTCGTTCGTACAGACCGGAATTGTCTTCGGCAGGTCTTTGACCCAAAAAAACGAAAATCAAGAGTACCGTTGATAGGCACGGGGTAGACTTAGTAGCACATGATCTCCACAATGAGCAACAATCACGTCACGAGTGCCCCCCCCCCCCCCCCCC